ACGTAGTGAATATTATTGACATTACATAGGCGATCACATGATCATAACAAGATAAACACCACTTCCGCTCTCTGGTTCCCTACCACGGCCCCTTCCCTGGACCCGCTCCCAAATTAATCCACTCGGAGGAAGGTCTAACTACGCGTCTGTCTTTGTGTATACGCTATCCTAATCTCCGGTACTATATATATTATGATTCAATAATAAATTATATAACTTGCCCACGACGGGACCCGGATCACAGATATATATAGAGTGCATATGTGTATGCGGTGTACATGGCATATGACATGGTATTAATTACTAGCACGTGCATATAATCTGCCCGCTGTTACTGCGAATGCAGTTTCAATATAATGTGTAACGGTACATATCCGTCTATTACGATTAGCGGTAGCTAGGCTCCTGTAATACAAATCTTATTAAGACTTATTAGTATTCATATAGAGCACGGTTTGGATTTAGTTTTATTTTGTTTAACGTCCTATTAACAGCTAAGGTCATTTAAGGGCGTGTGTTACTGCACGATTTCTCACCCCGACACGATTTCTCATTTTGGTGATCCGGTGTCGACCTCACTGAAACACCATGCCGGATGCACCCGACACAGCATTCCGCCCGGTTACATTATACTGACAACGCGTGAACCAGTTGTTGCCATTACTCTTACTTTTTCAGGACTTTGGCAGGTATGCTTTGGTATGTCCCGGCCTGGGGACAGAAGCTGTTGCCTTCCTTGCCTGGGCGAACGTAAAACATTGAAGCCAAAAGTGAGGTATTGCCAAAAAAAAGGCGTTAGGAAATAAAAGGAAGTTAGAAGTAGAGAGAAATATAAAGATCCCAACTATTACAATTGGTGCAGCAGATTTATTTTGGTCGCTTTTGTGTCCCCAATTAGAGGGCACGAAAGCAAATCACCAATTCTGCAGGGGTTCCTACATGATAAATTGTTGTGATCTGAGATCAAACAAAACGCAATTTCAATCGATTCAGTGTGTCCATATCGATAGAGGGTACAACAGAAAATGCTGCGTATGTCACAACATTTCTTGTTTCTTCATCCTTGGATTTTCTCATGATAGAATCCTAGTCCCTGTGTGCGCCACCTTGTGGACAATACGAGATTATTAGAGTAACGGAAACAAGCATACATGTGATCTCAGGGTAATAATTTGGTAAAAGGTAAAAATGAATCGCGCAGTAGCGCAACGAACCATTGACGACTTTGCTCTCAGAGTAGCTCTTAGATAATCTTAGAAGTATAGGTACCACGGCTTGTACTATTTAAATAGCTATAAAACCGCGAGCCTTTCATCAAATTTGATATTTTAAAGATTTGTATATTGCCCTTTTGAGAATGCTGAACGATTTCGAAGATGATCTCAAAAGATGGTCGGGTGGCGCAGTGGATAACGCACTCGCCCTTCACGGCCGGGGTTCTATCCCCGGATCGGACGGCGAAAAGGTACGGGTTCACCTGCCCGACCACATTGGTTTCATCCCACATTAAGACACCCAGCGCGCTACATCCAGGCCAACAAATGTGATATTTATAAATTGTAATAACTTGTTTCATAACTGTTGTAAACTAATAAAGTGTATTAAATATATTGAAAGTATACAACATATCCACTACTGAATATAGAATTCTTCTCATCGGATACACCCACAAGCAGTTGGTACTTAAAGCAGTGGGCAACACTCTGACATGATTCCATTGGTCAAGACCTTACATTGCTCAATCTTCCAATTATGACGTCAAGTAACAAAGTTTTGTGACGTCATCTTCCATTGTGACGTCATAGTCCACGGCTATTGTTTCTCAATTGGAAACAGGAACGAACGACGTATTCCCAAGAGAAGCATATGATTTCCTAGATATAATATCTGATCGTTGTCGGAGAAGATTCTCATGTTTATCTAACCCTCGTTAGTTAATTTTAAAACAGTAGAAGACACTCGGTGAACCTCGTGTCCTTATACAACTTGAAAATTAAGCGTGATAACCAAACATCACACGTTGAGGAACCTCTCTATTCAGTCTTTTCGTATTGCAGAGTTATCTGCTCTTGTGAGCAGGTATTGATTGTTACGTCATTAGTTTGTGTGAGAAAATTACGTCGTTTTCTCAAAAATGTATGACGTTACTCTCACAAACAAATGACGTAACAATCAATACCCTCTCACAAGAGCAGATAACGCTGCAATACGAAAAGAAGGAAAACATGTTATTGAATGTATTACCGTAATAATATATAACATTTATATAGAGCCATATTTAGCTTGCAAAATTACTTCAAGACACTTTACAACACATGAATAATAGTATCCCTACATTACCAACTTCGCTAATCCCGAACACATCATATAATTGATATGATTCCATCTTTAATTAAATGTACAATCCCTCTTCAATCATTTAAAGAATGTACTATTATTTGAATATAGAAATGGCGTTCACTACAGATATGTTACCTATATAAGCCCTATATAATCGCTCGAATTTAAATGATAATCGAAATGATATTGAAGCATCATCTTTTGAATTTCACTGCGTCTCTCTGCCGTTAATATTTATATATTGCTTATATCAAGAGAAATGAAATTAGGAGATCCGCCAGAGTGTGTTTTGGTGTGCAGAATAGCATGTGTATTAGATATTTTAACGAACCCCTGTGCTCGGAGTTCGATTTCATCCGTTTTGCGGCCATTGGTACCCAAAAAATAAGTACAACACAGGCTATACTATTATATATATGATATAGTTGATGTGCCGATTGTAACAAAATATTATGCTTTAATGAATACCACACTGTTAGCTACAATTGAATACATACGCTAATATTATCTTATGCTAAAGGACTAGAAATATATCTATAATTGAATTGTACTTAATTTACTATTACCACGGACTTAGACAAATCTAATCTAATTCCGTGCTATAACTTCTAAAATCATTTGAATATCTATATTAGCCTAGCTAGGTCTTCCTTTGAAAAAAATTGACAAACCACTATGAGTTTAACACAACGTAACGTTTTTTGTTGTTCCTTTTAATAACGTAAAATATATAACTGATGAAAATAAATGAAAAAAATCATCTGATATGACATAGGCCGATATCAGCTTATGTCCGTGGTTATGCAAGTTCGTTCTGGATATTGACCTAGTTACGCTACTGTTGCATCACCCTTAATCAATTTGGACATATTGTATATGATTCAGCGAGTCACATGACTATGAATCACACTCTTCACTCGGACAATGACAAAACACCGATCGCTTTGACCTGGATCCACCAGGCGATACATTCTCTTACGTCTGACCTTGTATTTTGTTTACAACCATACCTCCACGCAAATGCATGCGTCATAAGGAGGAATATTCCAGCTAATTTAGTTCTAAAAATAACCTATGACGATATTGAATAACCAATCAGAGTGGCTGATTCGTTGTTTTTGTTTGACTACCACACCGTCGAATACACAGCCCATAGATTGCGCAAAATTTTGTTAACCAAAATGGCTGTGTTTCGTAGGCACAACGAAATCGGATGACAGGTGAACATCTCAGCGATTTTAAGGAAGACTTGTCAAATTCGACTGCAGATCTGAAAGAGAAGGTAAGCTCGAAATAACCCATTTACCCTGTCCTGGTAGGCTGGTAGGTAAAAACCAAAACAGGAAGTTTTTCGATCTGAACAGCTGACCTTTCAGCTTGTTTACGTTTGTGTGTGCTGTTCTAGGAAACGTTACCGGACAGATTTCAGTCTTTTTGTGTGTTCTTGGATTTATTCTTAACGATAATTTTTCTAATAACATTGCTGGGTTGAATCCCTAACTTGTTAATGGATTAAACACAGTTCATTCAACTCGACCGACCTACTTTCGAATTCTCCATTTTGCATGGTTTGTTTACATCAAAGTGAAGCGATGACAGATACTATATTTAGTTCGGTAGAAACATCATGGCAGACAACTTAGCCTCAGGCCCAGTTTGTGGACAGATTTAAATACAACACCTGACATGTTTGCATCTGAATGGTATATGGCATTATTTCACTAATTTAAGAATAGTTATCTATCATTATATTTCGATAGAATGCTATCAATTCTCATCTTCTTCTCTTCTTCTTTATTTTACGGGGGCTCCATCAATGTTGATGTTTATGCCCTCGGGGGTCCTATTGCAGAGGCGTGAAAAAGGAGGTTATTTACAGTGATTAGTTCTTCCAAAGTCCATGCTATACAAAAGATGGACGCCTGTTATAGAGGACACTTGATATAGTGGACACTTCTTTAAATAGGATATCTGTTATTGTGGACACCTCTTTAAATAGGATATCAGTTATAGTGGACACCTCTATAGATAGGATAACTGTTATAGTGGACACCTCTATAGATAGGATAACTGTTATAGTGGACACCGCTATAAATAGGACACGTGTTATTGTGGACAGGTCAAGCTGTATATTGTCATGCGATACACATTACCACAGATACCTACTTATCTGAGTACATGTGTACTAATTCGAACTGTAGCCATTTCCTGCTCCTAGATTCTGATCATGACACACAGTAACCTACACTTTGACACGGACATTTACTATTATTTAGAATTTTTCTTGAATGAAGAACTTCCTATTCACTTATGGTACTTGATACTTTTGAAAGACTTTAACCATTGCACCTACATGTACTGTTAGCTTTTAAAATAGTGAAATCAAACTTAAGTTTTGATTTTTCAAAAATACTTATTCATGTGCATATCCAGGATTTAATCCAGTGGGGTCGAAGGGCAAAGCCTCAATGGCATGGGGCCTCCCCCCTTCCCCCTCCTACCCC